TACCCCGGTCACACGTGTGCCCCAAGGATGACTAATTATAATCGAAACAACCGAAGCACCTGGTTTTTCGACGATGCGAGACAGGCAGGACGGAATTCGAATAACAGTCACGGCTCCGATGGTTAGTCATACCGTTCGAAACAAAAGATTTCAAGTAGTTGTTTGCCCAAAAGTGTCCCTTGACGAGCCTCGTCATGCATTCGATGACACTTGAAGCCACCACTGTCGGAGAGTCCCACGAGTTTCTCCGGATCCATTCCACGCCATCCATCACTTTGGACAAACACGGAGAATGTTCGATTTGAAGGAGAGACTGTGGAGAAGAATTGTACAAATATTTGAGAATTTTTCAAAGTGACGAATTTCCAAGATTTTAAGAACAACAAGAATAAACGAACGGATCTAAGAAATTTGGTAGATTGAAAAGGGAAGATCGTACATGCCTAGATAACAAGACACGAAAGTTGTTCAACACTGTACACGACAAAAATCTCTTCTAATACAGACTCGTTCGGCCTGTCGACGGCAGTTATCTCCTGCACGGCCAGCTTCTATTTATATTTTACGTTCGTTAGTCGATCAGGGGTATACGATTAAGGCAGAAAGTATCCGTGTGCGTGTTTCGAACACATTCGATGCCAATTTAACTTCAACTTAGCCGTTCGAACACGTAATCCAACTGTCTACGTATATAATAAATTACGGGATAATTATAAAAAAAAAAAAGGAAACTTACCTATTTCGTTTAATCTAGCGATAACGTGAAAAAAAGTGCGACGAAATGAGACGTTCCTCCATCTCGAATATTTCCAAAATTGTAAACGAATAAAACTGATCCTTTACTCCACGCTGCCGACGATGTACGGGTTCGTCTTCAAGAACCTGTAAATATAGAACTAGTTGAACGAAATCCGTTCACAATTGATAAATCTATGAAGTTTGCGTGGCGCTCGACAACGGCGGCCGCACGTTCGACGCCGCGCCGCTCCAAAAATATCCACCGATAAACAGGCAAGGCGAGGCAGCAGAAATGCGTTCACCAAAATGTACACTCTCCCCTCTGTGCTTATCGAGCGCGTCCCTTATCCCTCTAATTTACCTCGATTTTCTCTGTGCCACACGGTGTGCCTTCGAACGGCGATAAAGAAAAGTCCCTACCGTCGCATCGCGTCGCGTCGCGTTATCCTCGTGACAAGGTAACGTCATTACAAGCAGATAGAAACGCGCCCACATTAAGATCCCCGGACCGTGTGAAACACGAAGAAATCGGGAAAGGAACGCGATCGTGCGGTCCCCTCTTCTCTCCTCTCCTATCCTTTCCACGCTCGAAATACACACTCGGAAGAGGCGAGAGATAAAGAAGGAGGAAAGGAAGCAACACGTCGATCGAAGGTGTATAAGAAAGTGGAAGGCGAGGACATTACCGAACTCGAAAACCCACTTAACCGTTCCAGAGGCCCCTGGCAAGATTAGAGGGTAGAGAGACCCAAGACAGGCTGTTGGGCCTTGAGAAGGACCCATCGCTATCTGTATTTCGACACAAGACCCCTCTCGAAAGAGCCGCAGGCAGACCCCTCTTTGATAAGAGGGGCAGTTGTGCGTGGCTTTTAGCGAGCCGCGACAAAACCGGCTGAAATCGGTCGGCTCAGAAAACGAAGAGGGAAACTGCTAGGCAGAGATAATAAAAAGTGCATCGGAGAGGAAGTGCTGACAGGCTGGCTGAGTGTGTGCGCGGAAAGCTAAGTGGCTGCTGGTTCGATGCAACTTCGATTCGATGAAATTCTCCTTTTTTCCGATCGGAAAGGAAACATTGTTCGTTGGAAAACGAATCATATTCTTAGTTCGTTGAATTCCAAATCGAAACATTCGTATTTTACTTCTCTTCTTTTTTGGAATCTATCGAATTTCTCATCGATATCTTCGAAGATTATTTATTTATTTTTACGGGAAGATTTCCTAACAGATTGCACAAGAATAGGTAGACACTACAGGTAATACAAGAGATACTAACGGACGCAAATTCAAAATGAGAAACGTACAAGACTGTCGATATGTGTTACGAAGGAGTGAGTAGAAAAATTGAAAACATTTGACGTTTGATGTGTATCTCCGAGGCAAGAAATTGGTGCATAAACATTGATTAATTGCAATAGCTGAGTACAGCGAATGGTACCGTTAATAACCTTAAGAAGAAACAAAATATGACAATTATCGCAATTTTTCGGGTGTTTGGGTAGACGTATGATAAGGGGAACAACGTTCTGCAGTATATAGTAGCTTTTTTACTAGTCGATTGTTTATCGAGAGGTATTGACAAACGAGTTGAGACACGTTGCACGTGGCTAGCTTATCAGATCCACAATGAAGGGACTCGTTGTACGTGTGGTATTAATATCGGTAATATTTCAAGTCTGAACTGTCCAACTAAGCCGATAATCTCGGTTAACGCAGGCAGTCGCGACTTTCGACGCGTGAGTACTCAATTGACCGTGGCATCGGCTACTATCGTTGTGCACCAGAGACACGGTTGCAGTTTTGTAGCGTCGTGAACGGTGATTGTTAACGGGTCGCCGAGTTAATATTAGCACAAGGTTTTTCTTCATCACGCACGTACTGCTTTCCAATGGGCAATTTTTTCATGCCTTTTCGAACGGCATTGCAACTATAGAATGAAAACACGTGACACCGTTTTAAATAAAGCCTAGCTCGCCTTCGGACGCCTGCTTTCGTTCGCACCTCTTCTTCTTCTTCTTCTTCTTCTTCTTCTTCTTTTTCCTCTTCCTTTCCTATCGACGCCTATTGTCTCGCCGCGCGATAGAAACGCGGAAAGCTCGTTTCCGTGGTCTTCGATAACCACGAAATTCGAAATGGTCGCGAGAGGAGGATCGATTCCAGGATGAAAAGAGAGAGGCTGTGGTATGCCAGCGAGCAATGCCAAACAATTACAATTACCGACTTACATATGAATGTTGTTCCCTTAACAAAGAACCGAAGGAATTCTTGGCGGTGTGTCAAGAATTGCGGCGAAAATACGAGAATATTTCACCGTTACGTTCGAATGAAAGAAAGAGGAAATATAATTTCTCGGAGGGGAAAAATAAACGATCGAAACGATTAAATATTCCTCATTTTATAAGTCACGAGTTATAAAAAGCGTGAAACAAAAAAGAAAAGAAAAAACAAAGAAGAAGAAGAAGAAGGAACATAGGTTTCTGGCTGTACGTCAAAGGTTCATTCGCGAAACACCCGTGTATATGTACACCAAGTGTACGTGGTTGGCATCGTAAAACGTGTGTTTTATTGAAAACCTTCTTACACACACACAGCAATGGTGTGTTTTCCTTGGTGGTAAAAGCGAACCGGTAAAAAAAGTCCTCACGTGAGATCTGACACCTTACCAGAAGGCACACACCAGCAGGGAGTTTCTCTCCTCCGGTGGAGAGGCGAAGTTTACGGTAGTGGAGATAATAAAAATTCACAGACCTTGTAATAACGTAGCAAGCTGCTAGGACCGATATCAGGGCAGCGATCGCTAAGACCAGGGCTGCGACGTGGAGCGACTTCACGCGACTCTGAGGAAACTGATCCGACGATTCCCGACCTCCGGCAATCGGGCCTGGATCCAGCTGAATCGATCCCATTATATCTCGACTAGGCGACATCCCGTTAAAGGAACCTTTATACATGAAATATTTTTCAACAATTTATTTCGCTTTTTTCATCCTGCATTAATCGTCTCGATCTTAAATCTCGCGCAACGAAAGATTTTATTCGACGGTGGATTTGAACTGAAAGTTACTAGATCCAATATTACCGCAACGACTGGACGTTAGAATTGGCTCGATACCAGACGAATTTCAAATGAAACTAGTTTCCTCGCATACTTGGAATGCCTGAACATCTTTAATGCTTCTAGATCAAACGAATACTTTTATCCATATATAACTCGAGACTTATCGAGTGTACTCTCTCTGTCGAATAATATCTTCTTCCTTTGAATACTGAATTAATACAAGAAACGTTCATTTTCGTTGTAATCTCAAGATACAAGTACACATTGGCTTGATCCCAGATAAATCCCGAGCAAATCTAATACCCGTCTCTAACACTCGGAATTGTCAATATCATAATTCACAGAACGGGTGACAGTTTTACCATTCGGGAGACGCGATAAAACGACACCTAAATATAATCGTTACATCGTTCGATTTCTCAATCAGTCCTCGTAACATCGTTACGATTCAATTCAATTGTAACTTGGATAGAGAGCGACGAAGAGGGGGAAGAGGCGCTCGTGCTTCAAATTAATTAAGCAATCAAAGTGTTAAATGCTTCATAGATCGTTGTGTTAAGCCGTTTTCAGAATGGTCTATTTACCAGCATAGTCTAACGTTGTCGGCTTGACAGTGTCAGCCCTCTCTTTGTCGTGGACCCACGTGGACACGTTCACGTGGTGATCGGCGTTACAGTAGTCGTGGCTGTCGCAACACTTCAATCTGACCCAGGGTATACGGATCCGGGCGTTCGACGATCGGTCCACGTTGTCGCTCAACTTCGATCTCGTGACCCAGGACTTTGTCTCGCAAAACAATGGCGTGCCACCCCTGAGCAATAGCAATACGCGACGTTCACAACGATAAAACAGGCTCTCTCTGGTTCGATAAAGTTCCGTGACCCCGGCTGATACGCGGGATTTAAATAACCATTTTGCGCGATTTACTGCCGCGAGATTTCAATATTCCAACAGACATACGGATAGATAGACAGACAGACAAACAGAGAGAGAGAGAGAGAGAGAGAGAGAGAGAGAGAGAGAGAAAGGAATCGATAGCTCGTTCTCGCGAAGTATCGTCGAGGAATTTGATAGAAAAGGGGGTCACTTTCGGTTGTTTACGAATATTCACCTTATCTCTGCTAAAAATTAATATTTCTTTCTTTTTGTCTCTGTTGGTCGTCCGGTAATTGATACCGCGCTATCTCTCGATAACTGTTCTTCTTTTTTTTTTCGCTTGCCTTCTTCTTCGAGAATTTAATTGGAAGTAATAAAAACTTGTTAGCTAGTCGAACACGTTCGACGTGATTTCGACAGTCTCGTCAATTCAGCTGCGAGAGGAATTCTCGTGAAAATTTCTGTCTAATTATCTCGTCAAGGTTATCTGCTTGCCGTAGAGCAGGAGAGTCTCGCTGAATTTATAGCGGTTCGTCAATCGTATGTATCCGGCGAATTAAATCGTTTTCGAAGCGAAATTCGTACCGTTGGAATTTATTGTCCAATAAGAGGGAAAGGTTAGAGGTTGGACGAATTTTTAAACCGCTACCGTCGTAGATACCGGAATCTTGTATAAAACGTAAATTCCATTGTCGAATCTGATTTTTTTCGTTTTTTAATAGCGAACGTAAGCAGATTCACCAAACCAGTTCTCTGTTTTCTCCAACTTGTCGATCGATAAACAACGCAAGAATGGTAGAAAAAAAAAAAACAAGCGTTTGGTTAACTTTTTATGGAAAAATCATACGAACTCTGTGCATCCTCTCGTCGTTGTGCTATCTCCTTGGTCACTGCTCAGTATTAATTCGGTGTAACAGGAGGATTTCGTCTTGCAAGTGTCCACGCCAGCTTCTTTGCACGTTTTACTCGTGCACACGCATTTTCTACCTGTGAAAATCCGCAAATCCATTCATCTTGATTACTCTACGTTCGTATACGTACCACACACACACGCACACACATATATCGATAGGTCAGAAGATAGCGTATGTCGTGTTTCGGAACGATTAGTTTCCATAAAAAATCGATAGTAGTGACATTCTCGCGATGCGTCAGAGAGAGACTCGAGCAGAACTTACCTTCGATTAGTTGCAGGCCGCTCGACAGAAATATCAGGCACAGTAGGAAGAAACGTATGCAGATTGGCGGTTGGATGTTCGATCGATTGAAATGCATAGCCTTCGGTTGGAAAATCGAACACTCGTTAGAATCACGAGGGCTCTCGATAAACGAAAAGAATCACTGGTACCCGGCGACGAACAGTCAGGGACAATTTCATTGATAAGGAGGAGAGGCCGACGGTGAACCAGCTATCTGCACGAGAGCCACTTGAAACGTATGCAGAAGACAGGAATATATATTATCATCTTGAATGGTTAGCCTGTTACTAAACGCGCAGGGACGATCTCGATAAAAACAACACGATTAAACGGCCAAAGAAACCTCACGCACACACTTGGCTATCTTATATTCACGTGGAATTATTCGGTACGATCTCTTCTCCACTTGACCAATCCGAATCAACCGTGTTTCTTCAATTTTTCCCTCTATCTTTTTTCCTTTTTTTTCTCCTCGTCGATCGATGCAATTGTCGATTACGTTGAGATAATGCAAAAGAAAAAAAGAAGAAGAAGAAATGGGAAGAAAAAAAGAAGAAAATAAAGCAGAAGAATGATTATTTAATGTTTAGTTTTGCCAGTTGGAATATCTCGAGTCACTTTAGTGGTTGAATGTGTTCCAAGGAGACGCGAGGTTCGGTCTCTCTTTCTCTTCCTCGAGGGGAAGCTTCACTCCGTGAGCCAATCGTAATCGAACGCAGAATCACGGCGCCGCGACGAGTCGCGACTGACAGCGAGACGTCGCGAAAACACGGCGTGTTATCGGCGTAAAGGACTATTTGAAAATGTCTGAAGGAAGCTCGAAGAAGAAACTGTTACCCGCGTGGGCTCCTCTAATTTTAGTACCTCCCACTGGAAGAGAAACGTGTCCTTCTCTTTCTTCTTGCTTCACCACCGCACGTCAGCTATGCTCAGTTTCCACCTCTTCTCTCTCTGTACGTCTATCTTTTTCACTCTTCTTTGCACCGCGCCACGAATTTACTTGTACATACATATATTCTAATTTTAATTCCGTCATCGGTGACATTACTTGGCGAGCGTGGCCTCTCGTCTTCGGTGGCGACGCATAATTACGATTAAAACGTCTGCTAGCCACCTCTTCCTTTCCTTTCACCAACGTACAAATCAAAAATTTTTCCACCGATCCAACGGTATCAGGTCGTCCCGTAAGTTCCTGTCGAATTTTATCGTTTAAATCGATATGTCCAGCATACCTTTAAATTTTATTTAAAAGAAAACGTCAGCGCCTTCTCATTCCACAACATTTTCCTATTTTTTTTTTTTTTTTGGATTTCGATTAAAATGTTTTTCGCTTTCGGCACGAACTTATCGGATCACCTGATAGTTTTAAGTTCCTCGCGGATAAATGTTACGTTCGACGGTAGACCGATTCAAATTCAAAATGTGATTAAATTCGTCGACAACGTTGCACAGAGAATTTTAACAGATAATCAGATTTGTGAAAATTGATCTTCTTTAAGATTCGAAAATTTACGCCGATAAATTAGCATTCGATTTTTTCTCTTCGTCGCAACCAACCTGTTTTCTGTCTCGGTAATAGAAACAGGCTCTCGTAAATAGGGAAGCGAAGCCAGTTGTTCCCTCAGATAACGTATCTCACCGCGTTGAAATAAGAATAGTGGTCGCAAGACGCGAGCCAGAGAAACTGAGGCGCCGTTGTAATTAGGGCTGGGTGTACATTTATCGGTGCAATTAGTTGCTTTTGTCGGCTCGCCTCGCCGGGTTTTTACGTTTTCTCACCGCTACGGCAGCGGATCGTTTCGCGTTGGCGATTTATTCGCGCTTTCGTTGGATTTTGTCTGTCTTCTTGCCTGATCACGGCCTCTTTTAAAGCCGATTTATTGAAACAACAACGAGGATTCGTGTGTACACGCAGTTGACGCAGCCGACACAGCCTCGCGAACGACTTCCAGATGGAGGAGCCTCCTCTTTTGCAGCCAACCAACCGTGAAACCGCCGCGTTACAATGCGGAATTGCAACTTTTGTCGGCGATCGCTTTTATTTAACTGTACCGACCGATCACACCATCGACATTCCAACAATTTATCTCTAATTAATCGCGAATTTTTTTTCGCGGAATTTCTAGCAAAGATTTTTTCGAGCCGGAGAAATTTCTGACGTGCTTTAAAGGAAAGTGAAGAATTATTTTCGTCGATCGTGTCTACGTTTCACTGGATAAATTTTCGTCGTTCTGTTTATACATAGCTCAAAGCAGAGAACGTCTCAAAGAATTCCAGTAGCTTGGCTGTTTTTCTCTTTTTTATTAAAGCTTTCGTTGCCTCGAAAAGTCCCCTAAATTTGGCCGATTTATTGGAACAATAACGTCTAGACAGCGCGCAAGTGTTTGTATCTTTCTCTGATATATTTCAAACCATCCAGATGCGACCTATCTTCGAGTCCTCGTTAACGAACAGTGAAATGGGAAAAAGGACTTGGGAAAAAGTGAAAGAGACTCGAAATAAAACGTCTCGTTCACTTCAACGTACATTTAATCCTTAAAACTTCAGTCCTACAGTTCTACAACACACTTTACTCTCAACATTATCAATTCTCGCAATCACAACGAAACATCCTTCGTAATTTCGAACAATGTCTCAACACAGTGCATACTATTTCCCTCCGTGCTCGTCGTTCTTTCTCATCGTTCGTCTAGCGATCGAGGATTAAACACAGAACGAGAGGGGTTAAAGTGGTGCAGCGAAGGAGAGAAAAGGGAAAAAATTGTTCAGGTTCGAGCGACGTTTAAAACGTCTCAATCGTGGTCACTGGCATCCACTAGGAGGATAGCAGACGAGAGTTTAATTCCCCGGTTGGTTTCCTGTCCATGCAACATTAAGCAGAGCCCCGCTGGTTGCACATTTCTTTATCGTCATCCGTCGAGTGACAGTAAAAGCTGGCCTGGGTTATCGGAATGACACTTCGTTACAGTCGAACGAGGTCGCCGCCGCGGCCGTCTCTGCTCTCCCTTGGCTACTTCTTATTGCGCGACGCGGATCAAGTGTTCGCCGTAAAAAGATTTACAGGGAGCACAAAGATTTCTTTCACATGGCTAATTTATCGAAACGTATATACGTTTCAAGATCGGTTCGCAATAGAACGGGGATTCTGAACGAGGTGAGCAGTAGGCAATTTAAATTCCTCCACTTACCCGTACATACGTACGTTATCCTCTTATATTCGACAAGGTATACGTACATACACGCGATAATCTTACGTTAATTACAAAACAGTTGGGCTGATTTTTTTTAAATAACAATACTTTTCTTCCGGTACACAGAGTAGGCTAATTAAACGAACGACTTAATCGTGAGAATTGCAGTTTCTCAGGTGTAAATCTGTTTGGGTGTTTTTATTCAATGGTCGATTTGCATGCGTCTTGAACAGGCGTACCGTAGCGTGGGATTCGTGGAGAAATTAGAAGAGAGGAGAGAAAAGAAAAAGGAACAAGAAGGTTTTCCGTGAATATTATTAAAAGCAACGCATCGAGATCGTTTTATTTTATCAGAATTTTTTCACCCGGTAAACGACTGCTTATGATAATCAGACAGTGGTTTCCATTGGCGTCCTACGCGGCTAATTAACAATCACACTTGTGCGCAAAATGTCAAACGTGTTGTACATATCTGTTTTTCTATCTCGCGGTGCATATTAATTATATTTAGCTTCACTCGCCTGTATCTGTCTGTGTAGTGTGTGTATGCGTGTATAATCGATTTAATACGGTTTTCGGGACACTTTGCCCCGATCGATAATATTCTCGCACGAGCCATTATTTCGTATTAAACGCCGTAATCTATCTTGGCGATAAATCACACACACAGTATACTAACGTTCTAACGCTTCGACCGAAAAGAATTTTACAATTTCCTCCAACTTCCTCGAATTGACATGATCACAGCCGGTCATTACGTGAACAGGAAGGAGGTGAAGCTTCATCTTCTACAAATTATTCTCCTCGAACGTCACATCGCGGTCTATAGTTGGAGAACGCTGTCGATTTTATCGTGGAAACTGTACGTGTGTCCCCGAGCTCGCCGGAGATAAACGCGAAAGTTCCTCTTGATTCCTCTCTTCTGGCGAAGATTAACGCGATTAACCGCGTATCAGGGAGATCGATCTCGAGACAGAGACGCGACCAGAGGGCGAATCGGAAGGGAAAAGGAAGACGGAAGAATCGCATCGAAGATAAAAGGGGAAAGACGAAGAGGAACGGCGGGGAGAGATTAAGAGAGATACCCGAAAAGATAGAGAACGTGCACGTCGCCTTGAAGTTGCATTCGCTTGATTGTCCTTTTTAATTAGCCCCCGATCTACCTTGTGGCTAGTCAGGTACATCGAGCAGGCTCGGAACGTGTCTTCTTAATTGTTAATGGGAGTTACGCCCATTCGAGACCTCGAGAACGAGTTTCGATCGGGCTGGCTGCACCGTGCTCTCTGTCGTATGGAAGCAACGCAGAGGGGAACCTCTTCTGTTTCAAAATTCCGAATGCTCGAACGATGTTCAGAAGTGCCAAAACGACTTGGACCTAATCAATTCCGATCTGCGATTTGTACTTTCGAGGCATTATCGTAAATCACCGTTTCCCAATCCTCCTCTCAACTCTTCGTTTCACCAGCCTGCACGCATAAGTGCAATTTTATGTACCTCCCTTGTGTCTTTTTACTCGTGTCCCACGATTGATTGGGAAACGGTGAATTTCTTAATTACAACAGATTCGCAAACATTTTTGCGTCACTCTCTAGAATCTTTGCTATTCCATCTTGAGAGTAGGTTCCGGTCTAGATGAAACGTTCTTTCCGAGGAAAAGTGTGCAAATGGAAAAAGAATTTCGATTCTTTTCATCCTCCAGTCCAGAACCTTCCCTCGAGTCACATTAAACTGATTTTAATTGTCAAATCGATCATTTCCTTCTTCTATGTTCCATTGGATAAATTGCACGTAGTATCCGTTGCATATTAAGTACGGCGCAATAACGATAAAATGCGCCATGTGTGGCGAGACACGAACCCGAGGAGATAGTTGGATCGTCGATCCAAGATGGATCCGGTGTCAAATTGATCATTACGAGGCTGTTGCACATACGGCGTGGCGGCTGTAATCTTCAGCCAAAATGGTTTCTCATTTGTCCAGAATGTTGACCGTGATCACGCAACCACGCTTCAGAAACGCTACCAATTATTATATCCTCAGGGTTAAGAAGAAGAAGAAGAAGAAGAAGAAGAGAGAAAAAAAGGCGTATTTATCGTAAATGTTCTCCGCGTAACATAACGACGTAATGCCTCCGCGATCGAAAGTACTTTACGCGAAAGCGACACACCGGTGTCTTTTAAGAGGTATTACCGTGTAAAACGCCAGACGACGATCCAGAGCCAGGCTCTTTCATCCTTCTTTTGTCGCCGCCCGTAATCGTACGTAGTTAAAACGAAACGATTTCACGCAACGACAGGGGCTGCAATATAAATCAATGCGTGTGTGTGTACCACCGGTTGATTGTTACTGCACCAAATCGAATCTCGGAAAGATCGATTCCGTAATTATTTCGATCGTTTCTCTCCACCCGTCTTTTATCGCGATCGATCCACCGCTTTTACTTTTATCCCGCGGTAGAACAAAGCGCCGGTAACGTCCGTAAGTTTAAAGGTAATAGGACGGTTTCGAAGTCGCGCACGATTCACTTTTATCAAGGCGAAATTATACTTACTGAGATGATTGACGGCAGGCTGAGAGGCGATCACGAACATTTTTCTCTGAGACGGGAAAAATTCCGACGTCGGGATTATACTTATCGATATCTCGTTCTGGTTGCTCCCCGGACGATTTCCGTACTCGTTTCGACGATTCGCGTTGTGAGTTAGTTGCACACCTTGAATATTACGTCTGCAATTACTGACTATATAGCTGGTCACCTGGTTTTACAGAAAAGGAACGAAAAGAGTCTCCCTTAGGAAACAATGCACGATCTTGGTGTAGAAAGAATGAAAGATACCGGATTCTAAGGGAGGCGACATCGAGTGAGGCAACGTTACGTTCAAGCGTCGTTTCATTTACGTAAATCAGGATGATGTTTATACGATTGGACGAGATCAGAGATCGTCAGGGATCACTTACCGAAGATATGATAAAAACAACGAGTAAAGCAATGCCTAGCCAAAAGTACCAGGCTTCCCAAAAGTGTCGTGGAGGCCGTCTTTGTACCAGCAGGCAGCACTGCGAGTTGCAACAACAGTACAGACAATATTTGTCGGGAGTACAAGCGTACGGTTTGATGGTTTCACTGCCCACGCTGCCGTTTCTTAGAATAGCACTACACTCGTAGTATAGACGAGCCATGTCACAAGACGTACATGATTCCCTTGGTTCAGTCGTGACGATAATAGTCGAAACTACTACGAATTTCATTAAAAAGTAGCGAACGAACGAGGCGTCTCGCGGATCGATGGAACCGCATCGAGTCACGAATGATCTAAAAAAATCGCGTTATTTTCAGAATGCATAGCGCCGCCCGGCGCCTCTTAATTCACCACTCCAGACACCTGTTCCCCTTACTTACCAGGTTGGTGACACGCGAGACTACCGCCCGATTCTCATTCACTTTTTCCTCGATTTTTCGCCGCTGAAACCACGCTGAATCCTTTCGACCGCGTCGACGTGCTCGAGGACAACTGTTTCGCCGCTCATTTGTCCGTTCGGTTCAGATATCACTGAACAGGCTAGACTGGACAGGCTTGAAATAATCGATAAAGCGAGCTTAGCGTGTCCTTATTCACACGTGACTCCTGATCGATACGCTAAATGATTGAGTCTGTAACCTTTGAAGAATTTCACGGGGAAATTGCTATTAAAAGTTCTCGTCAACCTTAAGAATAGGAGAAATTTCAGGATGAAATAATTGATTATTTAAATTCCAGAAATTTATTATGAAATCGTCTTATGAAATGCACGTGTTTGTACAAGTAATAATACGTTTATCCAGAATGAAGAGTTCGATTACAGTCGAAATTCTAACGATACACTTGTTAAGTAGCTACAGATACAGAGAAAATAAAGTAATCTCAATATTGATTGGTGTCGTGAGGCGGGGGTGGTGGAGGTGGGCCTCTCGGAGGGAACGGCGGTCGAAATTGAGAGGGTGGTGGCGGTGGTGGACCTCCTTGGGACACTGGAGGAGGCGGTGGATGCCTCCAAGTTGGAGGAGGACGCGGTGGTGGTGGCTGGAATTGTCCAAATTGTGGGGGCGGTGGTGCTCCGGTGGAAGACGGGGGCGGAGGTGGTGGAAATTGACCTTGAGGTGGTCCACTGACACCCCAGTGAGGAGGCGGTGGAGCCATCATTCTTGGAGTGGTTTGTTGAGTTTGAGATGTTGGAACTGGCATTGGAGGCAATGGAGGTGGCATTCCAGGTGGTAGAGGAGGATGTGTGGCCATTGACATTGGTGGTAAAGGAGGTGGAGGAATGCTTGCTGGAGGAAAACCACTGGATGGTGGCGGTGGGACAGGGGGCGGCGGAGGATGACCCATTGGAGGTCCTGGTGTTGATGGTGGAGGTGGGGGTGGTACGACCATTCCATGGTGCATCACGTGATGTTGAGGATGATGGGTGGTTTGATGAGCTGCTGCGTTTGAATTTGGAATATGCGGTGGCGCTAAAGGAGGAGCGTCAGCGAACAATTGATGAGGCCTATCCGCTTGGCTGAGAGGATTTTGCGCGGCTAACAGACGCTCTGCCGCGCTACCGTGTCTCTCCCCTTTAGCGTCGCGTTTAAATGCGTAAGATACAGAGATAGGTCTGTTGCACAGGTATTGGCCGTTCATTGCTTCTATACTTGCATCAGATGCATCAAACGAGGCAAAGTTTATGAAGGCAAAACCCTTTGAGTTTCCTGTCTCTGGATCTCTCATTATCTGGAAGGTAAGTATGTTTTAATGGAGATGGAATGTTGTGAGAATTCTTGTTTACCATGGGGATACATTACCTTTGGTGTTTGGAGAATTACACCAAATGCACTGAAGGTGTCATATAGTAGTTTTTCATCTACCTCTGGATCAAGATTACCAATAAAGATGTTAGCACCTACATCCAGGTTCTTTTGATGAGCACTTGCTTTATTTACCCTTATTGGTTTTCCATACAGTTTTATCATATTCATTATCTTAATAGCGTAGTCTGCATCTTCTTCTCCCATGAATTCTACAAACCCGTAACCCTGATGCATTTGAGTCACCCTATCTTTAGGCATGTGGACATTGACTGAAAAAAATTACAAAGGAGGTTAATTAGATGTTTCAAGCGAGGATGTACAATAATTAATTAGTACATACCCACTGGTCCTGACTGGACAAACAGTTCCCACATGAGGGACTCTGTAACTTTGTCATCCAGCCCACCCACGTATATCGTGGCATCTAAAGATACCGATAATTGTTTAATTTCGAATATCAAGTATCGTTAAATTTTTAAAAACATTTCTAAACATTGATAATCTACAAAGTGTTTATGTACACATAACCTAACGTAACGGAATATTTCCAGGCTCGGTATATTATAAAAAATTGGTGACAGACACGATTATTCTATATGCTAAAATTAACGAAAAATATTATAATATTATAATACGTATTTTAAATACAAAGTTACCTTGATTTCGTTCAGCTATAGGACCAGCTGCCATGATTGCCACTTAATTTTCTAGTTTCATACTTCAAACGTACGCCGCGTTCGTTTAAGTTGGCAACCCTGATATCCAAAAATATTACTAGACTAAATACACCACTTAACTGCGCTGTCAAGTATTGTCAATTTTAAATGTTAAACAAATGAACTCTCAACGTTAAAAAACACGATTTATTTACTTCAACACATAATAATACAAACATAAAACAACATTAAAATATGCAACAATTTTAATAATCCGTATTCTCATGATAATTTAAGTAAGATTGTAATTAAGTATATGTTCTTGAACATTTAGGTAGTAGTACTGGCCCCTTGAGTCTCTTGGGTTGCTGAAATAAATACATAGATTAATTTGTTTTCTTTGCAAGACACAATTGATTCCTTACCTTTGTACGAATATTCCAAGGCAGTTGCTATAGTCCTCATATCTCCTTCAATGCTGCGTGCCCAATTCTCAGCATCGCCAATTTCTTTCAAAGCACTGGAAAAAGCTTCCACCAAATTCAGCCAAGATTGTGTCTGTTTTGCAAAATTTGTTGCACTGTGCTGCAATTGTTTTGCTTCTGCATCTAGCTTCTTTTGATTCAAATATGCTTGTGCCACTCTGCACAGATTATCCGTTTGATAAAGAATTAAATTGTACCTGCTCCATTTTAAGGAACATTCACTACTCACCCCACGTTTAAATGATCAACCAAAGCTTGTGTTAAGTTACTTGCAGCTTGTACAGCCTCTTTTCGCTTTTGTTCTGTCAAAATAATATTTATTACTTTCATCCATGATTTTAGACAGTTGATATCATTATTACCTTGTCTTTCTTTCCTTGCTACTTGTTTGCTTTGATGTTCTTTTACAATAGTAGACAGCATCTTTGTAAGCAAATGTAGGGATTTGTGACACTATAATATCAGCAGGTTACATTTACAGTAAATACTAGATCTATTCCACCTTACAGATTCGTAAGATCTACCTATTTTAAACGTGATTTCTATCGTTCCTAACGAACCTACTCGGGATTAATTATTCCCTATCGGCGTGTTTATTGATTTCAAGAAAAGATACATATCAATCTGCTAATTTGAATGTTACGGTTCTTGTGAATTCTGCTTAAAACACTGCACTACTGACCTATGTTTTAAAAATGACTTAGGAATTGATAGAGTTCGAATGTTTCGAGTAATAAACGACGCTTAAATATTGCAGAACACTGTGTTCTAATAATAAACAATGTATCATCTGTTCAATCCAGGATTGGACAAAATTGTACAAAAGCAAGAATTGAGATTGGCATTCTTCGGCGAGGAATAGTGTTTGCCAGTAGATGGCGGTACATTTGAGCTTTTTTAACTTCTAGTATACGGAGTAACGAGTATGGCGACTAGTTCTGGTTGGTGTAAAGTTTACCTGTTGATAATCGAATCGGATTTGGCTTAAAGAAAGTTTACCGAATTATCGCAACTAGAACGAGGCGAATCGCCTCCAGCAAACTCCTCGTTTAACACAACATTCTGCTCTAATGAGGTGGTCAACACTTTCATACAAAACAAGTGTAACCAAACGATGTACCAGAATCTCAAGAGTACGAAAATTAGGAAAGAAGTGTTGTCATTACTTATACATCTAGCATAAGTTGCTGGACAATGGTTTACAACGTCACAAATGCTTTGTGAAGGACCTGATAGTTAAGGTTTCGTCAGGGTTTTCATTCACGTGTACCGAGATAAATAAAAATGTAATGTAATTGTTGTGTTTACCCGCATAATTAGCTCCCTCTGTTTTTTCTTTGAAAAAGAGAGTTTCAAAAATTTCGTATGAGAGAATGGCAATTCGCATTACATTAGAATGTGGGCACGCATCAATGTTACGTACGCGTACCACCCCTCAGGGTTATACTCATGACTGGGAAGTATTTGTGCGTGGTATTGACAATGCTGATATTCACCACTATGTTGAAAAAGGTAAATATGCAGTTAGATGGAACCATGTTGAATTTTTGGACAAAGGATGAATATCATCTGACACATCCTCCTTTAAATTCCAGTGGTTTTTCAATTACATGAAACATTCTCAAAACCAAAGAGGGTCTTAAAAGAGCCACCATTTGTGATAAAGGAGTCTGGTTATGCTGGTTTTGAGATTCCAATTCATATTTATTTAAAAAACAAGGATGAAGGTACCAAAAAGATAGAAATTTTATACGACCTTAACTTACAATCAAGTGGTCCTGCAATCACAAATGTTATAAGGCATACAGAGATAATTAATAACCCTTCGGATGAATTCAGAAGGAAATTATTAAAGGGCGGAGGTGTAAGTATATCTAATCTTACTTGTTCCCAGGTCCCAATACCGATACACAGCTGATAGACATTGTATGATTAGGTTCTTGTGTCCAGTTCTGAAAATTCAGCTGAGAAGAGTGAAACCAAAATTTCAACTATGGTTGGTAAACCAAAGTTGAGTGGGAGTGATTCAAAGAAGCACAAAAATGTCGAGTCGAAAACCTCAAACTCTTTTGCCGAATTGTTTGGCACTCCCTTGAAACCCACAAAAGTCTCTCAGGACACCAAGAAGCCTGCACAGCCCGAAAAGTCATCCGCATCCAAATCCCTAGTTACCCCAGACAAGCCTGACAAGGTTGACAAGACAAAGCTCAAAGATAGTCCCCATAAGGATAGTAAAAAGGAGAAACTAGACGACAAGAAGGATAAAAAAGTGAAAGATCAGTCTAAGGAGAAAAATCGAAGCAAAGAGAAATCAAAAAGGCCCCCTAGTCCCGGGAATAAAAGTCATTCAAGTCCCTCTAACAAAAGACCCCCGTCACCTCCTTCAGTCCCTGTAAAAAGACCTCCTAGTCCTTCTCTTCCTCAGGCAAAGAGATCGGCGTCGCCAAAATCTAAAGAGAAAGAATTGAAAAAGATAGCCGTAGAGAAAGAGAAGGACAAGGGTAAAGAAAAAGACAAGGTGAAAGATAGTTCGAAAAATGTAGCCGATTCTTCGAAGAGCGAGAAGAAGAAGGACAAGAAGAAGCATAAGGAGGACAGGGATAAGGAGCGAAAGGATAAATACAAGGAGGGTGAACGATCAGCTTCGAAGGAAACGGTGAAAATCAACGAGAAGAAGAACGAGAAGGCGGAGAAATCCGAGAAGGAGAAGGGCCAAGAGTACAAATCGGCGAAGGACGGTAGAAAGTCGCCGAAACCTCCTAAGGAGAGTGAGAAACCAAAGGAAGAAAAGTTGATAAAGACAGATAAGTCCGAGAAGACGGAGAAGTCGGACAAAACGAAGGACGGCAAGAGTGAGAAGGACAGGCAAAAGCACAAGCACAAAAAGAGGGAGAAGAAGGACAAACGTGACAGTAGTAAAGACAGGGACAAGAAGGAGAAACGCGACAGGATAAAATCGTCTACAGAGAAGCAAAATAATGTGCCTAACGTTTCAGTAGCTAATCCCCTTTCTACCCTTTTGGCGGAAATGCCAGAGAGGGATAGTAGCGATTCAGCGCCATCGGTAGATGACGATTCCTTCTCCGAATCAAAATTAGTGCCTACTATTAAGAAAGAGGTGGAGAACCTGACTGTATCTACGCCTCCTACAGAAATGGCGAAACCACTTTCGCCTGCGATGCCGGCAGAAATTAAGAAGGAAAAAGTCGATCGGAGCAAGAGGGAGAAACCTAAGGGGAACAAAGGTGAGGAGAAGGAAACACGAAAGAGGAAACGGAGAAGTGATAGCAAAGGTGAGGACGATCATGTGGTGAAGAGAGAGAAGGACAGAGGTCATTCTGCGTCTCCACCTTTGGAACCGGTTTCCTCGAGTCAATCACCGGTCGTTGTTGACCAGGAAGCGGTCCATATGAAGGATAAGGAGGATCGCGGTGCCACGGAACAAACAGTCGACAAGGGTGCCGAAGCGGAAGTGGAACAAGTGGCGCCAGATTCGACGAACAGTACTTTGGTTGATTCAGACATGGGAGAACCACCGGTGTTCTCCGAGGACTATGTGTCACAGTTGAAGGACTTGCAACAGAAGATAATGACCCTGCAGGATAACCAAGAGTTGCAGCGAGTTGTACAGGTGATCGCGGAAACTGGTCAATACGAGATCACGAAGAAGACGTTCGACTTTGATCTATGCGCCCTAGATCGTAGAACGGTGCAACGACTACAGCAGTTCTTCGCGTCGTGACCGTCTGTAGCTTAAATCATGACAACCCTTTATTACATATTATTATTCTATGTATTAAGTCATTAAGTTATTTCAGCTTACGAGAGATTCCTTCACGTTACTATTAAAGAAGAAGAGGGAAAAAAAGTAATAACACGACCCCAGGAGAAAAATATGTAGATAAAGGTATCCTCGATAGGAAAGAGAGAAACACAGAGAGAAAGAGTCCAACTTTTATCTGGGTGTACAATCGAGACTTTCTTATACACTGTATCAGTTTTGGTTTTTTTTCTTTTTCTTTTTTTTAATTTATCTCACCGTACACGTATATCTTTCATCGATTGTATCCACGAGAAGCGTGCATAAATTATGCATGGTGGATAATTCTCTGAGTACGATATCGTTTGAAAAGAAAAGAGAGAAAAAAAAAACAGTCCAGATCCTTCTCATACTCGTTTACTCGAGATCAGCTTATTTTCTTACATTTTTACATGTTTCCAGCACTTGTTATTTTTACATTATTTTGTATATAGGTGATATGATTAAATCTGTATAAAGCACAGATTGGGAACTTGTATATTGTATCGTCGTGTAACATAGGAAAATTTTTACCGTTTCTCTGGGGGAACATTTCGGGGTCTGTGTGGTCTACAGTGCATTTATTCACGATTATGTATGTAGACACGGTATATATAAATTGATAAATAAATAAATGTATGTACATACATATTTATTTACTTATTTATACGTTTATATGTATGTGATTTCTTGTATGATAAAATATATGTATAGAGAAAAAAAAAAGAAAGGAAGATTATGTTGACTTTTTATGGTAATCGGGGTAATCGTTCGAGGATTTTGTGCATCACATTGCCTTGTAACATAGATATATTCTTGATATCTCGCGGAGAATTTAACGTAGGTTCATCTGCCTGAACCGAGGACACCTATTATATTTATTCATATTTTCATACGCGTCGTGATTAATATAAGAGGCGAACTACACGATCATTTGGTAATTTCTATTCGTCAATAATGGTCATCGACAAATTTCTTCTTCTTCGTTTCCTTTTTTTTTTTTTCTTTTCGAACTACACGATCATTTGGTAATTTCTATTCGTCAATAATGGTCATCGACAAATTTCTTCTTCTTCGTTTCCTTTTTTTTTTTCTTTTTCTCTTTTCGACACGCGGTCAATATCAGCGTTATCTTTCGTTTACTTGTACAGAGTATATTGTAAGTATTAAGCTGAATTAGATGTAAGTTTCCAAGAGGGATAACTAACATCGATATACTTTAGTAGAAGAAAAAGAAAAATCAGCAAATCTGCACTGTTTCTCTTTTTTTCTTCTCTTCTTCAGATTCTTCCTAATAGATTTTTCATCAAGAATTCGTTTCTTCGATACGTATCAATGTTTTATCCCTCTTAATTATCTCACGATACATTGCATTTGCGTTTAAATCCAGTGGAGAAAGAAAAAGAAAGCGTATAATATTACTTCGTTTCACGAATACAGCACGTACCTGTGTCATGTTTTTTCGTCTTGTCCTGGGGGGCCTGTACCGCGCAAATTACACCGATAAACATAAGAAATCTGGTTCGTATTGTTGTGTGTGAATGTGTCTCTGAACCATCGGGAAGAAAAAGTGTTCTTTTCTCTTTTACCGTTGCTCTCCTGTCCGTTGTCGGTATTTGTGTAAAAGAAAAAAAGAGAGAGAAGAAACACGAGGGAATTTTTGTCACAGAGAGCGGTCATGATGTTGCGTGCAATTGATACACCAAATAGTCTAATGTTTTTTGATATAACATTATCATTAGGTAAACGAACGTTGTACATTAGATATATACCGTGGTAGTTTGTATAGTTTTTGCAGTACGTTATTTATTGTACTAGAGGAAGCAACGTCCGGAATGTCTCGATAAAACGAGCAAAAGGTACTGCGATACCGATACACTTGTTTGCTGGTTTTCCCGACACACGGACGACGCGTTGCCAAAACTGTAATAACATTAATTTTTCTTAATGTTACAAGTGACGAAGAGATGAATTCGAGACCGAGAATTACGGTCGCAAAGGTCTTCAGAGAGAGAAAAACAAAATCGAGCTGATTTGTCATTCGTGAAATTTAGGATTAACTAATGTTTTTCCTTCGATCCGTACTGTGTGCATCATTACGAACGATTATTTCTTTCTTTCTTCTTTTCTTATTTTCTCGGTTTTACTCGTTTCTATTTTTGGAAATCTTATTTATCAGTTATCGATCAGAGAAATTCGTTTTTCCTTTTTCTTTTATAGCAAAGGGCATTATTAGAAACCGCAGGCTAACCGTGTACCCTGTTGTTAGATTTAAATCATCGGTACATCATTTTTGCATTGTTGATTAATTAGCCGATTTTAACCGGTCATTCGAACCAGATGAATCATTTTAGAAAAGCGTACTACTGTTTTTTCTTTTTCTACTTTTTGTTTTTTTTCTTTCTTTGTTAGTTGAGAATCATCGGGAGTTTAGAACCTCGTTTCTCGTGGAGGATATTTTATTTCGTTTTCGGTATCGTTGATAGACTTTTAATAATTATCGCGTTCGAGTGGCCTAGCGTTAATGTGTGCATGCCACTTTTTCTCATTCGAATAACGAATATGTTACGACGTGGTACGCAGTTTTAGCAACGATTACATTTTATGAGAGAGAGAGAGTGAGAGAGTGAGCGAACGAGCGAGCGAGCGAGCGAGAGATAGATTTTCTAGCGAAATATTTGCATCGTCACATTCGTTGTTTTTCCATTGTTACAGATTTTTCATACATATATTATATACATATATATGATGTCCGTGTTTTGGATGTGTGTGCTATTTTTTCTCTTCTTTTTTGTTTTCTTGTAGATACTATTCATGTTTTACAGACAAGATTGTATATTCTTTTTTGTTCGTTGCATGCTTGAGTTTTAATTAGACGTTAAGTTTCTGTGGGATGTCGTACGTGTCGCGGACAGGTGCGTATTATTCGTCGGAGATGAGAAGGAAAGAGAGGACCGATCGCGGGAGAGAATACACGCGATCGTGAAACCACCCTTGAGATAGACTAGAAAGAGATTGTATAAATGAAAAGAGGAAAATAAAAAGATACACGGAAGAAGACTAATGCACAATGAACCGCGAAAAATCACGACGGATCTACCAGCTGTATATAGTAGATAAGGAAAATATCGTGCATATAACTAATAATCCTGACTTTCGAATGATATAGTACAAGAGCAGCACTTCTGAATTGATATGCCATTCGGTGTACATTTATACGTTCGGTGTACATTTAATAAGTACCTTTGGTGACTAATAAACATCTCATATAATTGTGCCTCTATAAAGAAAACAAACACACACACACACACATAAAATATGCCACGATACCGTTTAAACGAAACAAAAATGAGAAAAGGAGAAAAAGAAGAAGAAGAAACACACGTATTATTCCTGAAAGAGACATAATAAAAAAAAAAAAAAAATCGACAGATGTCGATATTTTTTTTCTTTCTTCTTTCTTTTCCATTTCGATGCATTTCTTCAATTTGAAATACTCGACCACCTCTCGCCGATAAACGACCGTATGTAACATGGAATAGAAACGAAGTATGATTTTGTTAAAGGTAGAAGTAGTAGTGGTATGTCGAAATTCGGAAAATCTACCAAAAAAGCCCTTTAAATTAGTAACGCATACCACATTACAGCAGTTTATTGGGTCTTGTGTAATATTTCGTACAACAGTGTAACAGAGTAAAATTTCCTTACGGATCTCCATACATTGGACCATCTTCGTCGCGGTAACGTCGCAGTAAACAATTTGATAAATAATATTCCTTCGACGAATCTTTATCCTCACAGCATGTGCATCGTGTTCGTTTGATAATCACAACGCGCAACGATCGGTCGTGTGTTTTAGAGGCCCGTTTTACGCATAACATCATAGTTCCATCCCCACGCATGGCATTGTAATTATAATAAGAAGCATAGAAGGACGAGAAAACTTTTAGTATCCAGCCAATTCGGCGAACGTCGAGTCCATTTCGTCGGCGAGGGATTTGTATCTGTCCTTGTTGATGCCCAATTCGTCTGGAAATATGCATTAGAACAATCAGTATACGCAACGTCTCTCCTCCGCCAACAATATTTTACCGCTAATTTTATTTACAATCTAATCAATAATAATCCTACGTCATTTCTACTTGATTGTCTTTTTTTTTTTTCTTTTTTCTGGTTTATCACACCGGTTGCCCGGTAAACGTTTTCTCTCTGTTTCATTATCTGTTTTCTCTTTGTAAAAAAAAAAGTTTCTCCCGTTTACCGGTCAAGCACGATGATTCAGACTACGATTTATTTTAATGAGCCTAGGTCACTGGTTTAAGAATTAATTGTGAACGTAGAATCGATGGTTCGTTCCGTTCGGCTATAGAAGGAATGTTAACCCCTAGGCAAAAGAAAAAACTGAAAAATACGGGAAACGCTAAGAGTGGAGAGAGAAAAACAGAGGCAGCACACATAGTAGCCTGATTGAAAATCTAGCATATGACGTAGAACGTGGTGTATGCCAGTGTTTTTGTTCGTACGGTTTTGAAAATTGTAGTACATACAAAAAGATACGTGTGACAAGCAAAACAAGTAGCGCTTAGTGAAGCAGTAATTACTTTGTTATCGTTGCGTGAGAAAATTACATACTTTACTTCTCCTACGTATGTTTCGTAATTTCTTCCTTTCTCGCGTACTTTTCGTTCTGTTTTTTCTTTGATTTGGTAAAAAATGTAATTTTCCACGGATGGTTAATCACTTTTTAGCTCGAAGCATGCAAGAATCGTGAGGTGTGGTATACCTTTGCACGAGTGTAAGGCAAACAGTTTTGCGAGGGGTTGGCAAATGTACCTGACGTACGACGGCCCACATAAACGTGCGAAGCTTTTCTTTCGAAAAATTCGATTTTATTT